ATATTTTTATGAAAGAAATTTGTTTATTAAAAATATGAAGTTAACATAATTTAAGGAAGTTAAGTATTGTTCTATTATCATAAAATTGATTCATTTATAAAAGCTTACAACCCAATATTTGAAATTTAAGCCTTTGAAGATATTTATGGCTAATGGAATGTTTATTGATAGATCGACTTATAAAGTAAAAATCTATCACTTTATAAAAGTCATTTTTATATTTTTTAATGCAATCATTTTCTATAGTTACTCTTCTGAATTATAATCAGACACCAAACAGTTTCGATTTGTTTTAAAAAACTAATTATAGTAAAATTTTTCACTAACATTGCTTTGCAATTTAGGGAAAATACATTATCTGACTAATAGCCACCACTTATCACTACTACTAATATTTTCATACAAAATAGAACTCATAGTCCCTGTTCATATATGGACTATACTAAATTATGGAATAAATTATAAATTACATAATGTTCTTATGTATATAATGTGCTATATTTTTGCAAAGTTTTATTCAAGTTCCTTTATTTTTTGCATGAAGAAGTAACAAACAATCACACATACTTCAATCTAGTCATATAAACTTTCTTTATAAAAAAGAAACGAGAATAAATAATGAAAGCGTCCCGAGTTATAAATAAGGTCATATTTCATGCCAAGAAAAAAATATAAAACAATTGCCAATTGGGTTAAAAATTTAATTTCCTCTTTTCCGATCTGCAATTCTCGGTCTATTGAAAATTGTAATGGCCAGTCCTTTTATCCACAAATAGATTAGCTGACATTGCTGTATTTAAATTGGTATCGCTATTTCCACTTAAACTTTAAACAATTCACAATTATTTATTGTTTCAGTCCTTTTAATTATATATTTTATCTAACTTTATAAAATTATCATTGGTATATATATAGAATATCTTTAGTTACTATTTTCTATATATATATAAAGAAAAATAGTTTTTTATATATATTCAAAGTCTTGCTTGGATTATTTTTCTGGTAAAAGTTTCAAGACTTCCACTCTCTCATTTAATTTTACTCTACCACATACTAGATGGAGCCGTATAGGTTGCCGTCATGACCTAATAACCTGACCCTAAACGCCATAGCTACGTATGATTTGTTATCTTAATATTATATTTTAACGAACAGTTTCAGTAAAAGTAGAACATGACCCTAAATTTTTATATATAACAAAAGGAATATTATCGATTATTAAAATATTATTAAAAAATAAATAATCTAATTGTCATATTCAGATAATAGAAATTATGTGGGAAACCAAAATTAAACCGTATATATGAAGGGAAGAAATGAAAAATATGCAATTAACTTTCCAAATTAAATGAAGCATATATTTGGGCGAGACGATAAAATTATGGAATTTCATATGTCAAATACACCTCACCTCTGTTTCGCGAATAACACAACCTTATTTTCGTTGGCATAGAATTTTTTCATTACACTGAACGAGCATCGTAGTTATTTTCAACGTTGGTGAGGGTGTTTAATTATAGAAAAAATATATATTACATTCATCTGCAGCGCCTCTTTGATACAGTTATAATACTTTTAATATGTTATATTATTAATGAGCTGTTTGCCCGCTGCTTCGTCTGCATGTAATTAGTTTTATGCACCGGTAATAGCTAATATTATCGAAATCTGTCCACTTTATCGTAATCGTTGAAAATTGATGCAGATAATTGGGATATAATCTTTTTTGGACTTTTTTTCTGGCCGACGGATTTAGAACGAAATACTATATGGCAGAAAAATATAGTTCTTAAACGAGATTATCTATCTTGAGAGCTAAAAGAAAAAAAATCTACAAACCGATGATAGGCGGTAAGTTGTGCCCGCCAATCTTCATTACTTTGATGAGATCTAATAACTTCTTCTACGATTGAATACTTGGAAAAAATTCTTCAGCAAGGCATATTTATAAACAAAATGATTTTATTTAAAGAGAATAAAATGAAAAGACTAATCAAAACGTTGAAGAAAATCTTAAATCCTTTTAAATTGGCACTTTAATAAGAACAAATTAACAAGCAAATTTCAATTATTTATTTTAGACGCCGAAGAAATCTAGTAAAATATTTGTAAAATACTGTAATTAGAATATGTATTTCGTATTGAAATAAGCAAAATATTTTAACATCTCTATTAAGAAGAGTCTACTTGGTGAAGTGGAAAAATAATAAGAAGTTGAATTTATCGTTCATACATTTTGCACGAATAAGGGTTTAGTTTTTAGTGAATAATTATAGTACTAAACAAAAAAAAACTAGTACAGAAGAATAAGTTAAAGTAAAATATCGTTATTACATAACTTTTATTTATATTTTCAATAAAATGTGACAAAATATTTGAATATATAAATAATTCATTAAAAAAAAACTAACATATAAACATTTTGATTATAACCGCATTCAAAATCTTATAAAACTCTTTAACTATAAATTTTAAATACCAATATAAATTTGGAATTAAAATATAAAACACTACAAAATATTTTTAGTACCCATTTCTTCATCTTACTGTCAAAATTATAAAAATATATATGTTATACCTTATGAACAACACAACGATTTATTCGTATTTCAATCATTGCTACCAAGTAACCGACCCAATAAGGAACGTTATTTTTCTTTTACTAGTTCTTTAAATTGATTAGTACATAGGCATTTAATTAGGTACTGCTTATTAACACTTCGTTTTAATTTTCCAATTAAAATCTATGAACCTTGTTAATTATTACTTGTCAATTTTTGCATAAAATTAAAATGTTGCTATGAAATTTCTTAAATCATAAAAGACAAAATATTATACGACCATTTTTCCTTTTATATATTGCTTGTAAAACTGAATATAAACATAAAATACAGTGATAAACTATACCATTATTAAAATAGGTTGAACTTATACATATTTACTGTAGACCATTTCGACATACTTTATTATATTCATATTGGAATAAATATCGTTCAGTACATAAATGATTTACTTTCATATGTACAATATATTTTGAGTTGGACATAATTTGGTTTTACGTAATATCTGTGAGCAAATATTGTCAGTGGTGTATTAAAATTGTTTACAAAATGTGGAAGGAGTTGTGAGGCGCATTCGATTTTTTACATATTTTGAGTCATCTGTTTTATTGGTTTTAATATACTATAACATAACTAAGTAATTTATACTGGTTTGAAGTTATAGTTATAATCTATTCCAAAGGAATAACAATAAAAGATTAATTTTGATGTATGTTGTCAAAAATGAGGGTCACTTTGACAATGGACTAAATATTGTTTTTGGCTTAGACAAGTTACATAAATGAAAAAAGTCAGTCTTTCCACGTTAATTGCTTGCTTTAAATAAGGAAACTAAATGTAATGAATTTACTTTAATCGTGAGCAATTTACGTTTTTCCCACTAGCACTAAAATGGCGCACCTTAATTCATGAATGGTTGCCAGCGCAGCAAAAATTTTATATCAATGCGTTCCAAATGACTGTAACAGATCAGAGTAATTTATTTAGATGGGGTAAACTTACCGAAAAACACTTGTTATATCTGCGGGGAGGCAGATGGAATTGCTAAGCATTTGCTGGTGGGATATAAGATGCTCCTGGACAGCGGTCAATACTACGGTTCTAAAAATCATACGTGAAGCGTGTTTCGGTAGCCAGAGCGTAAAACGAGCGTTCGATAGGTTTTGAGAGAAAAGACACTAGGGCTATAAAATTAGAACGTCAAGCCTAACTCTATCATTAAAGTGGCTCCGGCTTTGACTATAATGATGGATACGTATGAGAAGTGTTATAAGACCCCAGAGGAAATTTGCGCTTCGGCGTCCAGACCAGATATATTTCTGTATTTGCAAATTTTAAAGTGCGTTGTTCTTGTTGGAAACCAACGTCTCCAAAGGCGCGAAACGCAAAATTTGAAGTGGGGTCGAGAGGTGTAACAGCTAAATTTCTCTACAGTCCACTGAGAGCTTTGGTCCTGTCCACAACGTGCATCAATGCATTTTTGTAACTTACTTCAAAGGCTATTAGGTTCACTTCCACTTTGGTTAGATAAAGCGACGAGTTAGGACCCGGCGACCGCTTTATTTTAGCTTCAACTTGAGTGTAGCTGTTAGCCCTACTAGCCTCGACAGTGTCACCGGGAGGGTAATCACTCGAATTGTAAATCCAAGGAATGCTGAGAATTTTTCGTCTTGGATTATACAATCTCTTTCACCATACTTAGTAGATATTTTCAATAGTATTACATATGCTATTAGTTCTCGTTGGTTTCATTTTGTTCATTAAACTATATTATGAATCATTATTATCTGCGAATGACCAGTTCTGTTCATAGACGTAGCTCTGATGAAATTTAATGTGGTGAGGAAGTATCCATAGATTTCCACGAGATCCTTCAATCAGACAAAAGGGTGGCTGACTTAACTCTTCCCCTTTCATTGTTGTCACTCAAATAGTTTAATGATCCAACAGTCATAAACGCTTCGAGAAATGCTATCCATCCAATGCAAGTTCAAACTCACAATTAGGCATGTATACTAAATTCTTTCATTCGTATTTGTATGTTTTAAGTTTTTCCGTACAACATTTATTATATGTAGTTACGCAAAAGTATACAAAATAACAACATAAAAGTGCACTTTAATTTCATTTCTATTAAAAAAACGAAGTACTACGTTATTATTACAACGTTAAACAAACACAACAAACTACATTTTTAGAGTAAAAAATACAGAATCCAATTAAGCAATAGGTACATAAGAGAATTCATGCTAGTTACTATACACTAAAATTGGAAACAAAAACAAAAGCTCTTATACACCGGTGACATCAAAGGTGCTTTACTCGATTTGATTCACAGTACTATACTAATAAAGTCTATTTTTGTTCACAGATGTACTAGTTCCATAAAGGTGCAGCGAAGCGTTAAAGTGGGATTATGAACAGACACATGATCTAGTCATGACTATGGCTTTTCTGTTCAGCGCGTTGGGTGCACTCACCCTCGTCAGTCGCACGGGTGAGTAAATGAGTCTATTGAATATTTACATTTTCATTATCTTCAATTTTACTGACGCGAATCTTATTTTTTTAACATTTAACTTCCTAAATTAAGAAGTATAATTATTTACCTCTTTTCATGTTGTGGATAGCATAATAAAATGTGAGGCATAAATAAAAAACAAACTTAAATATATAAAAGTAGACAAATATCTTGAATATTCAATATCGAAAATTTTGCTAATATCGTTATGGATAAATATGTATAAATATATATTTTACAAAAACATCATTTATTTTCTATTAAACACTTCTTCCAAATAAAAGCGGGCAAAATATTTTATATAATTAGTTTCATGAGTGGACTTCTGTTTTGATTTTTTCCACACCTTCATACATACATACAGTACATCTACTGTTACCACTAAAGATAACGTTATGTTAATAATTGGTAACAAAGAACTTCGAATATTTTACAAAATATTTTGATGTCAGTGCAATCTCTTAGTTTAAAATGCCTTGCCTTTCATAAATGCTTTCGTAACCCTAGCTAGTTCTCGTCCTGATTCATTAAGAGTTCATTCATTTTTACAAAGATCTAACGTTAAAAGTCATATGGACGGTCAATAGGTTTCAAAAATTTAATATGAAAAGAAAACCTTACAAAATCAATTTGTTTCTTGTAGAGAAGTAAGACAAATGAAAAAAAAAATACGGAAAATGTAGGGCACTAATGCAAGTACGCAACAATGGTACAAAGTAAACACTCGAATAAGCCAGCTCTTTATTTAAGTAAGCAAGGCACAGTATAATTATTAGATTTAAAAACAACTTAATGAAACGAATCTGAAGATAAAATGATAGCTTTAAAAGCCTGAAATCCGCTGGATTACAGTCGTGACCACTTTAATCAAGATGAGATTCAATTTACTGCCATTGCTGGTGGTCTTATATTTTTTATTGTACTCTAAAATATGAAAAAAATCTTTTTAAAAAGACAAATAATCATTATTAAAAACTAAAATACAGTGTAAACTCTATATAACGACACTGAAGGGACCGTGCATTTTAGTGCGTTATAGAGAGTTGCCGTTAAATAGAGGGAGGAAAAATCAGAATTAGAAAAAGACAAAGTTTGTTTCCGACTACTGTTAGTACTTATGTACATAAAAAAGAATGTTATAAAGTCTGTTGTTTTTGTTTGACGTGTTTTGCTGCACCAGTAATGTTGTTGTATTTTTTACGTATTTTATTCATATCTTGCGATATTGAGGCATATTGGTGAAGAACGAATTTCTTAGAAAGTTTGGTATGCATGATTACGACAGTGGAGTTTATTGCGGGCTAGTATAACAAAGCGACAAAAAAACGTACACAGCTGCGCATTTTTTACTAATTTTAGCAACTTAAGGGTACTTTTTATTACTTAATTTTGTCGTTATTGAGAGTGGCTGTGACGCTATATAGAGTGTATCATTGTATGGTAGACAAGCTAAATCAACCAAAGTCAAATGATTTCGACGCTTTAGAGAGTTTGTCGTTAAATCGAGTGTCGTTATATGGAGTTTACACTGTATATCATATTTCGTTTTCGACACCATATACCAAATAAATATATGTATCTGTAATTGTAAAAATATAAGCAAGTATAATTATATTTCTTATCATTTTAATATAATAAGAATTCATATAAGATTATACAATAAATTTTCTCAGTGGGATTTTATTATAATATTTTCTACACATGATAAATGGTAAGATAAGCTCTCAATCGGATGTTGTTGTCCGTTTATCAATCGTATATGTTCTATTATTGAGACTGGTAATGTTATTTTCTGACAGCTGTATCTTATATAATAAAAACCAGGTATTATATTTTATTACATGTTATACAAATATATAAATTGAAGAGAAACATGTTATCTAGGTAATGTTTTATAAATTAAAACAATGTTTATTCTATTGATTTTTGAAAGCTTCGTATAATTGATTTTGTTGTGACGATGTGAATTTTAATAATCAAAGTGTAAACCAATTTCGTATGCTGTTTGTTCGGGATGAACCCCAATAATGAAAGGCTGAAAAAATAGTAAATTCTTTTTATTTTTTTGGATACAATAAAATACTTTGATGTTATTTCACACTGTGTAACAAAATTATGTTGTGAGGTATTAAAAAAGGTTTTATATAAGTGAGTGTTAAACCGATATAAATGCCATCAGGGAATACAATGTGTTTTAATCGGCGGTAACATTTTATGTTGTCTGCTAACCAGCTTTTTAACAATGTATTCTCTTGTGTTAAAGTATAAAAGTTGATATTATTTTCCAAAATATTTTCATATTGACCATAAATAAATATTAAAAATAGAACTTTCTTCGAAAGGATGAACAGCCCTGGTTAGTCGAATGAAAAATAGTGGAGGTATTTTAACTCCAATTTCGTCTTTAAATTCATTACAAACAAAGCGAGCTTTCCTACAAACTCTCCATTATGTAATTCCTCTTATAACTTAAGTTGGACTTGGATTCATTACACGGCTATAGATATATTGCTTTCATGAATCAGAGAACACAATGGTCTGCGCTCTGAATGGACCGATAATGTTGTGGAGACAAAAGTCAGTTACTGAACAGGGAAATTATCGTGTTTAATATTAAAGTTCAAGTTATTTATTGTTGGACTTGTTTGAATTTGGGTTTGTTTATTTATTTTAATAAATAAATTATTTATATAAAGATTTGATAAAAATTAAAATTTAAAGTATGGAAGTAACGATACAGAATTGAAAATACAATTATAATAAATTGTGTTATAAAATGTATATATTAAATACACAAATACACACCATGCTGAAAAAAATCGAATCCATATAAAAAGGTTGGTTAACTGTGTTACTCTACTTAAGAAAACATATCAGAAATTAATGAAAATACTTCCAAACCTTATTAAAATTGAGGTCTTTCAATATAATCTTAATTAATAATAACTGCATATAAAAAATCAAATACATGGGTACAAGTAATACTGGTACAACACTTTCTAATACTGTTCCATACTTTTAATATTTCGTGTACATCATACATAACATGAATGACAATACAACAATTTCCCTTAAATAAAAATATTGTCTTAAAAGTAATGAAGAAATAAGCATGTTAGGAATGTTAATATTAAAATCTGTTTCCTAAGAAAGGATAAGCTTTTATCTTGGGTAAAAATAAATTCGTTTATACGACAGTAAGATGAGGGTTATATGAAAAAAAATTATATTGTTGGCTTTAAATAACGTATACATGGTAATATCTTATTAAATACTTGTTATTTTCATATCAAAATGTAATTTTAATGAAAATTTTGTATTGTTGAGCTTCGTCTAACGATGAGCATGAATTTTGTATTGATGGTCTATAAAAGCTCCGTACTTTTTCCCTACCTAATTATGTTTAAATTGAAATGATATATATTAAATTTTTTTTTCCTATTGTCAGGTTGTACAGATAATACAAATGGTGCTAATAATGGAGTTCAAGATTTGGAATATCCTGATATAGAACTCGGACTAACTCAGCGGGGACCACACTTTGACGTGGCCTATTCAAGAAACGTCACTGCACTCGTTGGGAAAACCGCACAACTTAATTGCAGGGTTCACGACCTTGGTAACAGAACGGTAAGTTAAGAAATGTTAATAATACTTAAGATTTACTTCCTGATATTAAAATAACTTGAAATCTAAATATAAACATTGTCGTCCAAATAACAGAATTCACTTTAAAGCAGATAACAAATAATATTTCATTAGAAACGAGTTGGTGCTATAGAAATATAAAATATCTTAATTGGAGTCCTTTTCAGTCCCATTCAATTTATTCAGACGTTTGAATAAAATATTCCTGTTTCAATTAAACAGCTACTCAAGCATTCTGAAGATGGTCTTTGTAAACAGCTGAATTATACATAAACACCCCTCTGCGATGGTTTTTGCATCTGAAACTTCTTTTATCCGAAACTAGGGAATGTTTAAATATGAAAATGTTCCTGCTTTGAGGATGTACTTTTGTAACAGTTTTAGGAAAATGAATGAAAAATCAAACATTTTGAATATTATTAGATTAAGCTGATTCCCTACAGTATTATTCGACAATAATATTACGATTAATTGTGCCCATTTTTCAATAATCGCAATTTTTTGCGACAGTTTTATTATGTGCTGTAAAATAAAATCCCACAGTCATTATGAGGAATGTCTATTGCGTTGGATGGTATTATTTTGAATAGAGATTGGAGTGCAAATTGTCACTATTCCCTGGTGTTGTATGAATATTGAAAGCCACTTTACATAAAACGTTGACTATGTTTTAGTGCACATTTAGAAACGAATTTGTATGGATCAACCCTGTATTGGCTACTTTTTAGAGCAACATTTAAATACGTGAAGCTCTCGCATAGACTTTTTTTTTAAAGTCTGAAATTTCCCATGCTCTATAATTGAAACAAAAATAGGAATTTACATTAATATTTCCTTATAATTTAATAAATATATACTTAAAGTAAATAAATTAAAACATATACACTTTAAATATTCTACAATATAAAAAAAAAACTAAAAACTCGAAATAGGTTTTAAGGCTAACGTTTTAGAGATACATGTTATGAATATTTTCGTTAATATATTTACAAAACCAAAAATCAATATTAAAATCTACAACAAGAAATTTTGATAATTATACTATGTAACATTTGTATTAGATTGTCTTGTAAAGTGGTATCACAAATTTATACAAATAGGAAGGGATAATTTAGGGTAAGACGACATGTTTGTTCCTTTATAAATATTGAAGTGTCAAGAAGGTAACATTGTAAATACAGTGGATTTAATATTATATATGAATATTAATATCAGTAAAAATAAACTATATACATATATATCTGCGTAGCGACATTTAGTCTTTCTAAATTTTATTTATATAAGACCCTGTCCTTTGTTTAAAACCATAAACTTATTGTCTTTGTTTTAAAACAACACTCATAATAGCTTAAAGAAAGAACGAATTGCTACAACTACTCATTTAGTGATAAGTCTTTTGTACATACGATAACATAAAAAATATGTAAAAGAACATTGAAAATGTCACGAGAATTAGCCAGTATACCATGAAAAAAACTTTAATTGAAGTCGTTACAGACTTCTAAATTATTCACACTTAGAAATTTGGATTTTATTAGAAAACGGGAAAAAATCAGTGGCCGGAATAAAGATGAAAGAGTAAGTTGGGTCGGATTTGCGATTTCGACGTGAAATTTCTTTCATAATTTATTATTTACTGTACTTTTATCGTTTGACAGAGATTTCAATATCCTTCAAAGGAAAAATTTGTAACAAGTTTGTGATCACTTATCAAAATTGTGTTTATATTACTTTAACTTCTAATCCGTGTAACTACATTTATACACCGATTTCAAAACTCTGTATATTTCCCAGGTATCGTGGATCAGACATAGAGACATTCATCTATTGACGTCCGGGAGAATGACTTACACTTCCGATCAAAGGTTCATCAGTGTACACAATCCACATACAGAGGACTGGATATTAAAGGTAGGCGTTTAATATCCAGTCATTTGATTAATTAATATTCTGTTCAATACCATACAAAAATAAATGAAGTGTACAGAATATATAATAACTATTAAGATAATTGACCAAATTCACTGTTCTATATATCGTATACGACTTTAAAAATTGTCGTACATCATATGATACAGAATAAATTTATATGTTTCAAAGAATTAGAGAACAATGAGGTGGTTTATTATTCAAACCTTTTCTATTTTTAATTCCGAGGTAGATGTCAGGCACTAGGATATTATAGACTGTTACATATGTTGTTAATTTTATATTATTTACATAAAATAAAAATGTAGATTAATGGTTATGTCTATGACTAAGAAATGATTGTGAAAAATTTTGAATTTAATAATAATAATTAAATCGAAATATAGTTTGTATATATTACAGGTTATTTTCATCAATATTTTAGTAAAAATAGAAACCTTTTAATATAAGTTTGACCATAAACTCAATATTCCAATAAAATCTGATTCAATATCAGATTCAAGTCGGAGCTACGCAATCTTTTAGTCGGGGTAATGCTGCGGGTAACTTAAGTGGTTATTGCAACAGTCGCTGCCAACATTAGGTTAAAGATTTTGAATTAGTTGAAACTATACCGCGGTCCCAAAACTTCCTCGAACAATCCAAAGCTTAGGTTTTACCTTGTTAGACTATTCAAAATTTCTCCAACCAGCTTAATCCTGTTTGTAACTTTAAAATTCACCGTCGGATTCCCATTTCTCTCCGGAGTTCAGTATATTTAAAAACTTATATGATATACTCTCGTATTCTTGTTTATTTATTGAGAAAATTAAAAACCACAAAAGTAAAGTCATATATTTAGAGATTTAAAACTTTATCGATTTTTTTGTATTTCATTCACAAGACGAAATAAACCAAGTTTAATAAGTAATCTTTTTATAAAAGCGTTCACCTTATCAAATAGACTTGGAGATTTGAAATAGCTTTTTAATTTATTTCAATGCCAGTCTTAATCTACTTTTAAAATAGAAATACTTTTTTTCTTATAGTATTTGAATCAGTACTATAAATTTAAAATTTTATAATTCTAATCTTTTATACTGTTAAGTGTTTTGAATATAGTAATAATTTTGTCTGAAAGTAAATTTTAATCCCGTCTGTAGCATAAATATTAAATAGAAACAAGAATCAAATAACCATAACAATCGATTACATGTTGAAAGCTATAGAAATTTTACGACATTGCTAGCAGGTGGAGTCTTTTGGCTTTGACCCAACGATATTTCACACTTCACATGCAGGCTAAGTAATTTACTGACTAACTTCCTAGCCAATTCCTAGTTGACCATTAATAAACATAAAACATCCACAGATAAGATTTCCACAGCGGCGCGACTCTGGTATCTACGAATGCCAAGTTGGTACGACACCGCCCATTGGACATCGAATGTACCTTTCGGTTGTCGGTAATAATTTAAAAATTTTACATATTCTTTTAATATTTTTAAAAAGACAAAATTAGAAGTATTGCAGAAGATTATTGCATTATGAGAATCGCTTTAATTAGGCCTTTAAGGATTTATTTCGCCTATTTATTCATCATCATGAGCCGATCAGAGCCCACTGAGCAAAGGCCTCTTCTCATATGAAGAGGCCTATTTATTGACTTTTCTAAAAATATATTTCCAATGAATGTAATCGAAATATTTGTTTCTTTATTAGAACCACTGACTACAATACTAGGAGGTCCGGAGCTCTTTATCAACATGGGCAGCACTATAAACTTGACATGTGTTGTTCAACATTCGCCAGAGCCACCGCCCGCGATACGCTGGACTCATAATGATGAAGTGAGTTGATAGCAACGTAAAACTGCTTTTTTATTATGCTTTACACATATCAATTATCTTTTATCAACTAGATAATAAAGACATATGGAGACGAGATAAAAGAATTTGAGTAAAATCTTAAAAACTAACTTTCATTTTATTGCAAAAACCTGAGATATCATGATATTAATAATAATAATTTAACCTTTTAGTAATGTCATATATTTACATATATTTTATAATATGTGACACTTATTCTTTCTTCTTCGTCATTAACATAAAATCTAAAATGTCATTGTCATAGCTTTAGACTCGATTTACTTTGAGTAAAACATATATCAAGACCCAATCACCATATTCAAGTAAATATACTGCCGTTACGAATCCTTTTGTACCAAAGCAAGAACATTACTGGAAATATCCGAAGAAACTTTGAAACTTTTACAGTAAAAGATTTATCAAACGGTTCACATTGGCGTAAAGCCGCTTACATCAGACAGGGCATACATACATCTGTTTGCATCGAATTACACAATCAGAGATGCAGAACATTTGGCGAACACCAAGAAAGTTTTCCGGATTTATTCACAAGAAACTTAAAGCTTATTTGAAATCATGCCAAAATGAGGAGTAAGCAACCTTGCAAATGCTCTGCCAGAAAATAAAAGCCCAAAACCATTGTTAGATCAAATCCAGTGAAAAGTTTGATGGTCGTTTCTTCCAATTGTATTGACTCGTGACCGAAATTCTAGATTTAACGTCTGATTTAAAAATTGTTCGTGACAGCTGACAATTGTATTTTCTGTCAATTAAATTCAGATGTTTAGGCAAGGATTTAAGCGATATACTAGTAAATGGTATCCTATAAAGATCTTACATAATTTATAGAGTAATATTTGGGACCTAAAATATAAGATTTACCAATTTTTTATGATAAATTTCCAAAAAGGTGTTAGGTCAAGTTTGGCTATTTGAAGTACATAATCAAGAATTTTTATTGTTTTATTTTTAAAACCAACATCTACCAGCTGACAGTAGTAAAACCTAGCATATTGAATTCGAACTGTAAAAGCCCGAAAACCACGTCCCATTTTCAGGAATACTTACATTTACCAACTCATATCGGTAAATCCTAAGACTTTCACTTAAATCTTAAGATTTACTGTAGTTAGAGCTTTTTCAGTAACATATACATTTTTATTTTGTCATATATGATCGTCAAATATCACGTCCTCAAGTATCGATAGTAATTCACCAGTCACCCTGTATATCAGTAATAAGAAAGATTTTGTAAATTTTGACGATAAAAAAATATTTTAACATCGGTGTTTACATCGCTTTTATTCCTAACGATCCTCAAAAAATATCACAGAGATCGCTTTAAGAAATTACGAAGTAATAATTGCCTGACTTGCAAAATATGTACAAAAGATGGCATTCTGCTGACATTGATTAAAAGTTTAACTCATATTTGACGACCAAACAACAAAGAAACTCTTTATTTAACGTGACTTGACGTGTTGCCGCCTTAATATATAAAACAAAGTACAAGAAGAGATATCTCGTTAAGTAAAGTCAAGTTCATGTTTTGTTTTAATATTAAAAAGTTAAGGCGATACGTACATAAACTTACAAACTATCTAAAGTTCCTTTGTTAAGGCATGTTGTAGTAAAAGGAAACTACATTAACATTACAACTTGGTTCGCTACACACTATTATATTTAAATATATACTTTAACAATAGTGTTAAAACTGCAATTTAAATTTAAATTTACACTTAATAAAGGCATTTTAATTTTGTTGAGACTTTATCAAAAGTACTCTGAAGGAATGATTCCATATATTTTGACTGAATTGAAAATATTTTTATAAATAATATGTTCAATTGATTAATACAACTGGATTGTTACTTAAAGATTTTAAGTTCTTCTGAACCTTTTAAAATATCTTAATAATAAACCCAATTTACTTAATTGTTGCCTAAATCAAATATTACACAAGTTCTAAGAAGCGATAATTTATATGATACAGTTATGACATTATTTCGTATATTTGTTTTATACAGGAAATAAACTATGACTCGCCTCGCGGTGGGGTTTCGGTGATTACTGAAAAGGGGGAGATGACGACCTCTCATCTCTTGGTGCAGAAGGCTCGTGCGCCCGACTCCGGCCGCTATACTTGCGCACCAGCTAACGCAAATCCAAGATCTGTCCTCGTACATGTATTAAGTGGTAAGTATCTGAATATATTCATACATGTTTTAATTTTTGTAGTATGTTAACTTGTCTTTCTTCATTTTGAATTCTAATTTTCCTCGTGATCATACCCATATTCAAGTCCCATATATTTTTTATTTTTTTCAATCTAGGAATATACGCATGGAGATAACAAAGATTTATTTTAGCATATCGTATCTTCAATGACATAGCTTTTCGATATTTATTGCTAGTAATCACTTGATTATTTCCTAAAATTTGGCAGACTTTCTGAAAAAGTACTGCCAAATATACTTCTTCTATTTAATGCTTTATGTATTTATAACCTATTTTTGCATAAAATTGTGTTAACATTCCCAGAAAGTCATACATTTTTTTTGTAATAAATTAATGATACTTTCAACAAATACATTTTAAAAAATTCTCTAAAGCAATGGGAAATTTAACTTGTTTCTTATCCTTTCATACTTCTTTCTTTCTTCTGAAAGTATAGATACAGATACATTATGTAACAGAAAAAAATCTGTTTTAGTAAATGTTTGAAACCACATACACCGTTAAATAAAATTTAGCAATCACTTAGCAAAACTTGAAATAAACTACAACCACAAACGAATTTCATTACGAAAAACGAATGAAACCGCAGCAAAACGTAGTTTAAAAATAAATATAAGTAAATTGAACTCTCTCGTATAGTTGAAGTTGGTAACAGCAAGCGTTCCGACTGCAATCAATTTATGTTTATTACTCGTGAACTTTTTCAGATTAGATTACCGATATAAAGTCTTAATTCAATTATAAAACTGGTTGAAATAATGAAATTAGATCTTTATTTATAGAAAACTTATGATTTTTCTTCAATTATTTAGTAACATAACAATTATGTAATTTCGACTACGTATTATTTAAAGTCGAACAATAGGCATTTCTTTTTAGTCATAACAATAATAGAACCACTTTGTATAAATAATTATAATGTCCTTATGATTTTTAATTCATATAAATAAAGGAAATTTCCTGAGTACCAATTGTTTTTACATAGTGAATGTATATAGATCTCCTTTAATAAGTGTCATACAATTTATAATTACTGTGACGAAGTGACGTAGTTATGACCCTATCATATGAAGAGTTCTATTTAGATAAGGTGATAGTAGAATATAGAATCACGGACATAATGTTATTACTAGTTGTAACAACTACTATAGTAGTTTCTATTTCTCAGGAGAGCACCCAGCCGCTATGCAACATGGTGGCCAGCTTCGTCTTCAGTACCCGCTTTCAGCAGCATTACTTAGTGTAATCGTCACTCTTATGGGATGCTAGTACTTAACAGCTTTATATTTACGTTTTATATTTTTCTTATAGACTATAATATTTTATTATTAAAAAAAAGTAATCAAAAAGAAAACTTCAAATCGATGGTTTTTGTTTGCAAAATATTAGCGTTGTGACCAAGTTTAAATGTATACCAGTTATGTTATTTTGTAAATACATTATTATATAAGAAATTTATCTAACTAATTATAATTATACTACCGAAAATATTGAAAATCTGTACGTAAAATACAGTGGAAATATATTACGTTAGTGAATACAAAATTATTATAACATTTGTATATAATATGTAAAATTTTGACTCAATAGCCTGTAAAAGATTAGTTTTAGGTAATAACTATTATAAATCAGTTAATATAGATATTCGTACCATGGTTTCTTTGACGAAAATATTCAAACACTAAACTTTTACATTCTACTTCTGAAATCCTCTATATCACTGTCTCTAAAAAGCATTTTATTTCTTCATGATTTTCATCGCTCCGCCTTAACCCTTCAATTTCCTGAAGACGATAGGATTATAAATCCCATGTATTTATCTTTTTACAATCTCTGGTTACTTCAAATAAGTTCATAGCATTTAAGTTATGTACATGACTTTATTTTATATATTAAGTAAAAAAGATCTGGTTGAATATAAAAAATAACAGCCACTTTATTGCTATTTAATTCTTTATAGGTTGGATCTCAATAAAACGGAATCGCTTACAGTGCAGCGTTGGCACGAGCACAAACCTTAACGATAATATTTATACGTCAAATAAATATCAAAAAGTTTATCTTTTGGCTGGAATTTAAAATTGGTATTGGACAACCAAGTTGGGAACACCTTCGCAAATCTTTCCTCGAAATATAATATTCTGTGGGAAGATTTAAGCAGTCGTAAGATTTAAATTTGAAAATATCTTTTTCATATATTCCGATTTTCAATAGAATTTGAAATATTTGGAGCTTCTTATATTATATTCGTAAAAGCTGATACAAATTTAAAGTATTTCATATGAATCAAATTTACTTAGTTTCCTTGTCTTTTAAAATTGTTATTCCATTCCATTTCAATACGCATATTTTATGTGAAGACAGTTGTAACATTCGACCTTAGCAGCAAATGGGAATACATAAAACATAGGACCTTGATTCTTTTCAATCTGACCAAACCTTGACATGAAATCCAGTTTCTTACAGTCTTAAATAACATGTAGAAATTGAATTTATTCAATTGTTCGCAAAAGTTATTATACTCCCAATTTTATTTGATACCGTGATATTGAACAAAAGAAATTTATTTCAGGGGAAATGGTTATTGAATTTAAAATTAAAATTTTCGGAAGAAATTTTTAATAGAATTTTCGTAATTGGGACATTTTTAATATTAATATATATTTTTTAATGTAACCTCAAAACAAAATTTGTAATGACATTCTTTCATTTGTTTTATTTAATTCAGTAATAAATATTAAAAATAGAAATATGGATATCAATGAAAAAATCCTAATTTTGAAAAGAATTATTTTCTTATTAAAACCTTCTACTATTCCCAATGCATATTGTACTGATCGGAAAAGTCATTATATTACTGCAAGTATATTCTTCAGACTTCAGTGTTACATTAAACAGTTACTTTTTTGTAATTGATATTGAACATAAATTGAAAAACCCTAAAACTTATGTACATTAATGTATAACATTTTGAAAACAGTGAACAGTACTCCCTACTGATTATACCGCATTAGTATTTCAACTAGCATTTATTTTGAAACATAATCCAAGAAATATTTAGTTATTTAAAATAAAGGCATTTTTTATTATACGAGTATTTTTTGTTTTTAATATTAAACATTGTTTGCTTAATATAATATATTTGCTTCTTACTTGCAATCATGAAAAAATATATAATTTTAACATTATTTATATACAATTTGCTTTAAATAGTATAAAATTATTGAATAAGCATTTATATGTATTTATTATTTTTCGTTGGAGTCGTATGAAAAAATGTTAAAATATCTTTTTCTGTTGATAATTTTGAAAACGAAACCGACAATCCCAAATGGTTAATTAAATTAAATGCCTACAACCTACCAAAGAAAAATTCATACAGAATGTGTTTGAAATAATTTTCTTCTTCTATTATTTAATGGTCTCATTGTTATTTAAAAAATATATATGTATACTAAACATTTATAGCTTAGAAACAATACCTCACATTCCGATTTACGGATATTACACTATGCTTTTTTTTTTTGATGACGTAGTGGAAACTCTTTTTACGAACACTAATGTTTTGGGCCAGAGTAGGTTAGTGTTAAAATACACAAATCTTACATATTAACATCATATTCTTGCAAAAGCTTTTAAACTAAATATCGGGCTAGAATAAATAACGCAAACAATTTCATTTTTACTGAAGTGTTGTGAGGACTGAATTACATAAATTTATTGTAATTTAATAGTTATTACTGAAAATTGGATAATGGCACTTATCCTAAACTAGGTTTGGCTCCTATTCTAATATAAAATCTCCCTAAATTCACTGCTATTCAAGGAAATCTTACCGTTTTTCCACTTTCAACCCCGGCTTAGTCAGTTTGTTTAGGGGTCCATTTGGGATTAAAATACTCGATGCCAACGCGAAAATTGACACGTCCTTTTAAGCAAATTGTAAAGGTTTGAAAGAAACCCTCGACATAAGTTGTTCTTTTGCTTTTAGCTTCAAGTTTTCGCTTCAATGTACAATTGAAAATCATAATTGTATTTTACTTATGATGACGTTGATAAATAATGAAATAGCTGTGTTGAAGATTCGTTGAAACACTTTAAGTACCGATTGAAAATATACAATTGAATTTATTGTATTTTAATGGAATATTTGTGTCAAGAGTCCCAATTAAATCGGTATTGGAGGTCGAATATCGATTCAATATTATATGGAATAGCACGTAGATCTAAAGTAACAAGGTTATATCTTAAGTTATTAACAATATCTATGTGTAAGTAGATTTACATATATAATATTATATAAGTATAGATACACGTTTTGTTTTATAATTTAAATATTGTAAATATATGTTTCTCATGTTAATTAAGTAAATAAAGTTATTGATCGTCTTCATTGTTTCATTTACCTCCGACATTATAAACATAGATTGCTTTAAACTTTAATTATTTAAATCATTTTATTGTAACATTATACATATTTGGGCTGAATTGTAGACTTAGAGAGAGAGAGACTATAAGAAATAAAAATAATAATATCAACAACGTTTTAAAAGGAAATGATCTTTTATGGATCCTTCAATCATATTATTTTCGTTCCATAGGGATTATAAATTATAATTAACATATTTGTTAACTGTTATTGTTCTGCATTTATTCCGTAGATTTTTGTATTCAGTACATTGCTAAGAAAACCTTTGCTACTGTATATCACCCAATGTAATCAAAATGTATATCACCCGAAACTATATATAGAAAATAGCAAAGCAGCCTAACTAGTACACAGTTTCACTGTTTTTGTTTAAGACAATTCTAGACTTTTTCAAAAAATCAATTATCAACAAATTCTCATATTATGTGTTACTTTCTTTCGAAGCGATAGCTTTATAATGTACCATAAAAATATACATTTCTTTGTGTAACTTGGTTAGTCGTGTTTCAAAATATTTTTTTATCATCCTTTAGTAATCGTTGTGGTCTTTCTGTAGCTTCTAGTTAGGTTTTTGATAATGAAATCAAGTATTTGACAATACAAAAATCCCATTAAACAAAAACTATTATCGTATTTTTTTAATATTAAATTACATTTCTGTTCTTTAATATCTATGCCCATTAATTTTAATTTGGAATTTAAAGATAGACTAGTAGCATCCAATTAGGTATTAGGTAGATTTTGTTGCCAAGGTGACGAGGGTAGGGCTGAAACCACTAATCGTTCGCATTAAATGTCTAATACCCTCAGAATGGCTTTGTGGCCGAATTAATGCCTTTTGATCGTTGGTTTCAGATTAAATTGACTTAATAACCACACACGTTTGGTCCTAGAATTAATCTAAAGTGCTTCTGTTAATCTACTTACGAAAGTTCATCTGTATTTAATAAATTAATTAGCTCTTTATAGAGTGACTATTTACTCGATCATGAAGTGACATATGAATGACGATGATAGAGATCAAACAATATCTTGACACAACTAAACTAGCTATTTATTTATGAATATAAGTAAAGCAATTAGAAATATGGTAGGTTATTAATGTATACTAATGTTGCAATTATTTTATTTTAGAATGTTCGTGCATCTTTTGTTCTTGTAAGGAAATACTCGTATACTTGTTTATCATAAATTTACATGCAATTAGTCCTCCTTAATATTCATCGCGGATTAAAATGTTTTAAGAACCATTTTTAGCTTACAAATATTATTTTATGTTTGTACTAATATAAAATATTTTAATTTGAGTAAAATACAATGTTAGTCTTTTATTAAGTAACGTTAAAACAAGTACGGAAAATAGTTATTAAGTGTTAGTCAAATTACTCAAGACTTATTATTACAAATTTTTCATATCCCTGTAGTAGCTAAAGATTAGGTTAAATGAATAGGAAAGTATTATAAAGACCTAATGAGTTAATAGAAAAGAATAATTTTAATTTATTTTTATTTAACAACTTACATTTTCTTCATTTACTTTCATTTTTTTATCTTGATTAAGTAATTAATATTACAAAAGAATATTTATAACGAACATTTAATTTTCGTATTGTTAAAAGTTATTTAAGCGCTGATAATCCTTTTTAACTCAATTACAATATAAAACTTCAGTTTAATCGTTACAAAGAATGAAGCCTCGTAAGTGGCTGAATGTTCAGACGTATCATATAGCTTAGAGCTTTTATAGACAATTATTGATCTTACCCGCAGCTAGGGTAACAATGGTTTTATTACTTTTACTTGATATTTCAAAACATTCAAGTACATATTAAATCCTTTT